CTGTGGTGGAATCAAGCGGGCATGAAGGAGCTGTTACCCACGGAAAATTGGCCAAAAGCACTTTTTGGGAAAGTACATCAAAAAGAAACGTGGAGGGTGCTATCGATAAGTGCATGGCTAGAAAAACCGAAAAACAAAACTGATAAAACTGTTCAAAAACTGTAGGTCTGGGATAATTGGCAGTCGGAAATTTCATGAATAAATTATAGACAAGGACGGTGCTCTTTTCTTCAAAAAGTTTATTCAATGGCACATCCCGGACATGCTGTTTACATTTTGATGCGAGAACAGAACTGTCAAAATATTTACTTAAAGGCACATGCTACTTGGATTCTTTTTTTCTGGAGTAGAAACATTCAGAAAGTATACTCGATTTTTGAGCTTGACTGATAGTTCAAATTTTGTAAAAGAACTTTGATAAATTAGAAAATGCGAATGGTCGATATCCAGAGATGACAGTTTCGAAATGAGATATTGTGATTTTTAATATAAATAGAGGGAAAGTCAACGTTCTCTTCTGAAAAATGGGAATTTCATGTAGTTAGGAGAAACTGAAATTTCTATAGAGAAAGGGCTTTTCGATTTTTGGGCTTGATTGATAGGTTTCAAAATTTTGATCGAAATTTAGCAAAAAATCGATATCTGAAGCTTTGAAATGTCCAGATTTACGGTGTTTCAACAACATTCGAATTGTTCATTGGAGCGAAAAAAAAACCTTGAATTTCGAAAACTAAAAACTTCAAAAACTGAATTTTCCAGAAAACGATATTTTAGAAAAAAAAACTATTGCAAAATAGTTTTCAGTGAACTGGATTATTTTATCAGAACTTTTATTTTATCAAATCTGAAAATTTCTTATTCGTTGACAAAAAAAAATGGAAATATACTCTAACGACACTGTACTATAGTAAACTAGTTATGACGTAAGCAATTTGAAACTTTTCTGACTGAAAAAAAAACAAAAAAGTGAATAGTCCTATTAATAAGATAAGGAAGTACAATCGATTGTAACAATGATGGGTGTTTTTGAATTTTCTTTACGACGATTAATGAGGTGAGGAGAGTCTCAAAGTTGAAACTTGGTTGGTCACCAGTTCTATTTTTTTGTTAGGGCCAACGTCTTTTTTTCTCTACCAACAGAAAAAAAAACGACAGAATTCGTCAGTATGTCTCTTTTTCCATAGTTCTTTTTGGCTGTTTTTCAGCCCCGACATGGGGCCCCGGGGGCTATAATCGCTGGTGGTTCGTACTCTCGTCCAGTCCACGTTCCCTTTTTTTTCTTCAGTCAGTTTTTTTGCGACCCTGTCTAGAATTTTTTTCAGCGGTGGCTGAGGATAGAGAACGAGAGACACCCGCACTCCGATTGGCCAGTGTCAGCTCTGGACGTTGGGACAAAAGTACCGCCCAGTTTTTTTCCTCTCCTGCTGTCGCATCGTCGCCATCATCGAGACTACTACTATTTCGCGAGCGACTCTCGCTTTCTAATCTTGCCCCCCGATTCACTTTGCGTGCAGCAAAAACAAAGTATACGGTAAAAAATGGACGTGTTTTACACTGTGCGGGCCTTTTTTTTGAACTTTTAACAAACTTGGAATGAAATTTTTTAGAATGAAATGAAGAAAAGAGACAAAAATTACAATTTGGGTCTTTTTCAAAAAACAACACAGTAATCAAACTTGCACTCTGCAATTTAGAAAGGATGATATAAGTACAGTATCAAGATCCAAAAAAACAGAATTTCGTAATAATAAAACAACGACACTATGCTAGTAAAAAAGTTATGAGCTTCTAGAAAACGACAAATATTAACAAGTGGCTTCATATGGAACGACAATTCTTCTATACAACAAATATTCCAGAATAATCTTCAGAAGTAATGTTCTCCGAGAGACCTTGTATCCTCAAAAAAAATAAATTTCCGACTCCGAAGAGGCGTGTCCTAGCTTTTCATGTTTTTCAGAGCTTTCTCTGAAAATCCGGCAAAAGCTC